GTTTTGTTTTTGAAAATGTTGAAGAGTCCACTTAAACACATGAGCATAAAGTTTTTGCCTTCATTATTTTTATTAATTGGTCCATAATTGTACAACTATAGTTTTTGAAGGCATAACAGGTTAATCTTTTTGTTAATGATTTATTTCTATATCGTATATTGTTTTCTTAAGAATAGTGTTAATGTATCATCTTTGTCGAAACATTGCGACATAAAGTTCCTACTACTTACTATAAATGCAACAACTATTTTTTCTTCATCATACATCACAATTGCTAGTTTTACTTTTTATTGTTTTAGACTTATATATTATTATTAGATATTTTATTATTGATATGTGAAAATAATTTTGTATTTCTAAATAATAAGTTAATTAAAATTAGGGTAAATTGCAGTTTTCATACCTAAACTAAAGTTCATTTCAGAATCACTACCCGTTTTTTAACATTTGCAATATCAGTACCCTAACTTTCATTCTGTTAGCAACGTTTGTACCTGGTCGTTAGATGTCCGTTAAATTTCCGTTAGTTGTTAACGGAAGTAGGCAAAATAGAAGGAACTTTGCATTTTTGTTATTGAAAAATTATTATTCCAAGATATACTGCATGAACCAGAAGAGAAACCATGTCTTCTCATTTTTCTCAATTTATTAGATTTTTTTTAAAAAAAAATCGATTTTATCCAATTTTTTTCTTATAAATAGTGGAGGCTGCGTCTTCTTTGAAAAAAAAAAAATGGTACAAATATCTTATGTATATAGATTTCATCATGAGCCAAAAAAACAGAAAAATTTCCTCCATTTTGCCTACTTCCGTTAACAACTAACGGAATTTTAACGGAGATCTAACGGCCGGGTACTAACGTTGCTAACAGAATGAAAGTTTGGGTACTGATTTTGCAAATGTTAAAAAATGAGTACTGATTCCGAAATGAACTTTACTTTGGGTATCAAAACTGCAATTTACCCTTAAAATTATCTTAAATTTTATGCAAAATAATTTTTAGCTATTGACCTAACATTGACAGTGATCATCTTAATTATTTTTTCAATATAATATTATAACCAAAAATACAACTATAAAGAATATAATAAAAAATAATTCGATATGTATAGACATAAACTTTTATTTTGTACAATGAGATGAACATTTATTTTCATAATTTGTATACAACATAAAAATAATTGCATAGCATCTAATTTAGTCTCATTTATGGGTAAGCAATATAAGAATATTGTGAAATGATAGTGTGTAATGATTAAAAAAAAAAATAGAAAATAGTAACATAAAGAGTGAGAGGTCTCAACAACAATAAGAGAGTTAAAAAAAATATCTATATAGTTTTGACTCAGAAGACAAAATGATCATATTGATTGAATAGATCTGATAATTATTTGTTTTATTTATTTCATTTGAGCTTAAATTTGAGGTTTTGTAAAAGATGGTGAAAAGTGACAACCCTTAATTTTTATAATAAATTAATACACAATTATATAGCTAAAATTATAATAAAAGTAGAATAATGTGTCAATTATTGTTTAAATTTTGTTTATAAACAATTTTATTTTTTATTTTTATTTTTTGAAAAAGAGAATGATAGTATATTATCACAACTGAATGTTGTAGTGATAAAGTTAAACACAACTTATTATAGTGAATAACTACTTTTTCCTTATCATATATAAAAAATGTTAATTTCACAATAATGTGTTTTTCATATATTTTATATAATATAATTTAAATTTATTTTTCGTATTACTTTACAAAAGTTTGTCAATGTGTATTTCTAAAAATTACATTGAATTACAGTTTTCACAGTTTTCCTGCAAAAATAAGTAGTTTAATATTACATTGAATTACAATTCTCGTGAATTTCATGCAATAATAATAATAATAATAATAATAATAATAATAATAATAATAATAATAATAATAATAATAATAATAATAATAATAAGTATTTTAATGCATACAAATTTTGCAGCATTTTTTTTAAATAAAAATAACATAATGGGCAATTATCATTTAATTTTTGTCCATATCAATTTTTTATTTATTTATTTTTTTTCCATAAGAGTGATGAGATCATATTATCACAATTGAAAGTTGCAGTAGATAAAGCTAACCACAAATTTATTATAATGCATCAACTACCTTTTCTTTTTCATGTATCATAATGTTAATTTTATTTTATTTCTTTTAGATTTTATATAATATAATTTCAATGTTTTTTTTTTTTTCTTGTATTACATTACAAAAAAATTTCAAAGTGTTTTATTATAATTATGTTGAATTATAATTTTTATTGATTTCATGCAAAAATAAGTATTTTAATATTACATTGAATTACAATTTTCATGAATTTCATGAAAAAAATAAATATTTTAATATTGAGTTACTGAGCCTGTTTATGGCCTTGTTTGGCAACTAGCGGTTAGCTGTTAGCTGTTAGAGATTGCATTAGTTGTTTTGACTAGCGGATGGTGTTAGTTGTTTTGACCAACTGATTGTTTTAGCGGTTTCCAAAAGATTGTTTGGTACATGAAATATTTTAAATCAGCTGTTAACATGTAAAATTACTTATATGGACATCTATTCTTTTATATTCTTGTTTATTTTAAATTATAATTATATAGAAAATAACTATTACTTATATTTAAAATATTTCTAAAACGGCTTAAAATAACATAACACAAATAAAAAATAACAATATATAATTGTGAAGTGAAAAAAGTGATGAAGATTCTAATTTGACATGATAACAAATATTCCAATAAAAAAATAAAATAAAAAACATAAAATATAAAAATTCACATATCAATTATCATCCTTTATCCTACTCTTCCTCATAAATTTGCACATAATTCATCACTCAATCTTTCTTTTTTATTTTTATTTTATTTTTACAGAACACTTAATTTCAATGTCAATGGAGTATTTAAAGAAATTTGAGTTCATATATAATCTCAATTTTATTTTCCCAATATATTAATGTAATAAAATATAAATCTATTTTCTAAGTTAACTTTGATTTTTAACCCAAATATGCTAGTGTGTTAAAATAATATGAGGTAGAGTTAATGTAGTAGAATTAATTAATGGCAAATATGTCATTTTATATTTTTTCTTCAAAAAGCTATTTGAAAAAGCTTCAATATGTAGCTTTTTGAAAAACAACTTTTAGATCAAAAAAGTTATTTCAAAAAGTTATTAACCAAACATTTTAAAATTGAAGGTTTCAAAAGTCAAACAATTATTTTGCTCAAAGAGCTAATTTGTGGCTGAAACGCCATTTAACAAACATGGCCTATAACATTATGAAAAATAATATATCAATCTTTCACGTCATTCTCTAATCCCCATTGCACTTATTTTGTGAAAAATGAAATGTTGAGATTTATTTTGTTAATAAAAAGTAAAAAATATGTAGACTTCATCTGTATTTATAAATTTTATTTTTTTTTCATCTTCGTACATGTTAACATTAATTATTAAGTATTAGTTTAGTTGTACAATAAGTAATCATGATTTTATTTTCTTTTCTGAACTATAAAAATTATGTTATCACATATATATTTTTATGGAAAATTTTTGAAGAAGTGTCATTAATGTGACCAATAATTTTTTTTCACGGTATATCACATATTTTTGTAAGCCTATAAATTTAATTTTAAAAATTCTGAAAAAAAAATTATATTTGATTTTATAATTTCGTTTTTGTTAATTGTTATTGTTTCTAGAGTCACGACCCATATTGTACGTCTAATTATTGTTAAGTCCTCTTAGTAATAATGAACACAGTTAATCTACTATTAATGTTGTATTTGTGAAAATATTTTTAAATGGATTAATAAATAATTTATTCTACATTATCTCAATAAAAAATATTTTTCTAATTAAATTTATTCTACATTATCTCAGCTGGATCGTTTATAGGTAAATTGGTACTTATATGTATTAGTTCCTTCATAATTTTGTTTCAATCAACTTTATATTCGAATAAAATAATAGCAATTAGTTTGGTTGCCTATTTTTGTCTTTGTAAATTTGCAATGTAGCGTGCGGAAGACATTGGACCAAATGGCAGCCGAAAGCATGACTAAATGCGTCGTGCTCATGATCATGATATCCCCACCACTCTATAAATAGCAGCCCCTATTGCCTCGATCTCCTCACTCAAGTCTCAACACAATACAAACGATTATCAATAGCATAACAACCAAACAAATTGATAACCAAAATCTCCAATGATGTTCCCTTGTCGGATAACTCTAATCTTCACCTTGGCCGTAGTCATCAGTACTCGGCCCGCAGCCTCTTGCCCTCCGGGAGGAGGCCAGCCTGGTCCCCCGCAACCTTTCGACCTGAACAGTTTCCACCGGTGCCTCCTCAGCCGATCCGGCCCGCAGAAACCCCCCACCCCAACCGGCTTCACTCTCCCTTCCGACCGGTCTTTCTTTTCCATCCTCAACTCCACCATCCAGGACACCAGGGGCGGACCGACACTCTGGCCAGCCTGGGCAACTGCCCAGGCTGGATTTTTGCTGCTAAACATATGTAATTATAATTTAGATAAATATTTAGGAAGAAAAGACAAAGTTGGAGAACTTGCGAGACATAATAAGAACAATTTTAAGTTTTTTTTAGTAGTCTATATAATACGAAATCGAACATTATCCTTATGTTCTCTTCTACAATTAATTTTTTTGATAATTG